ATAAAACCACCGTTTGCCATTATTGATTATTATTAAAGGCCTTTACTTCACATTTCACTTGAAAACCCTACAGTTAAACAAACATGATGAAAATAAAAAATAATTACAATTTAGAGAAGGAACTAATTCAACCCAACATCATAACAAACATATATTATCAAAAGGCTATACATTATTCTATAAAACATTGCCCAAGAGCAAAGAGTAGAGAAAAAGATTTTGACAACTTCTGTCAACATTTATTAATTCAATAGAGTTTTTATCTATGATATGTGAAGGTTTACTTATTACCATTAGTATTTTTTCATTCCTAATTATTACCTAACAGCCTTTTAATCCTGAAACAATTTTTTTTTGTCTTCTCACTACATTTCCAGGAGTGGAAGAAACAAAATGCTTTGCTAAACAGTAAACATTAAATACTCAAGCAATAACACATAAAGTTATCCTGAGATAACTTTCTCTAACCTCATCTGTATTATATGTCTACACAGCAAACGGGAACAGATACAAAGATACAAAAATGAACATTATAATGTAAGAGCTTAAATTTGTCACAGGATTATAAATAATGCTTATAAATAACAGAGATCCATAAATCATGCCTAGACATAAACTGCAAATATCCATTCACCAAAAATCTTTTCTACAGCAGCAAGAAAATATATAAAATTTCCTCAGAAAATGTGCAGGATTCTATTTTGTTTTTTGGTAAACTTGAGACTAGCATAATTATTTTTCTCAATGAGCAATAGCTTCTGCCTTCTATAAATTCAATTTTTACTCAGTTCTTTTTTGGTAGTGGAGTTAAGAATACTTACTTTAACTAAGGTGAGACAAACTCGCAGTTTACTGGATATTGTTCTTAGGTTATTTGTGATTTTCCAGACTGATTGGAGTTCTTTTGTCAGGACAACTGCACTTGAGGAGATTTATTACTGTCCAAAATCTTTTCTATTGAAAGAGACTGTGGCTGTGGCTGTAACTGTGGGTGGTGGAGCTTAGAGACTTAGAAACTAGACTAACAGGCATTAATAACTTTTTATAGAGACCTTTGAAAATTAATTTGAGTGAACATGACTTTTGCTGTTTTGAGCACTTCACTGTGATGAAGGGAGTCATAGTTTGTGAGCAGTATATAAGACAGAGTCAGTGTTTAGCTAACTACTTATGCTACTGACCCCAGTTACTTCTTTCATTAACCTGAACTGACTGAATTGGGAGGTGTGGTTACTTTTTTTACCCTGTCAAACTACAAATTATTTATGAAATAAATGATTATCCCCCTGGATAAGTAATTAATTTTAACTGAGTTTTTGGAATATTCGATTCCTGCCAACCATAAGGTGGCTTACCACATATGTTCTTGGTTTTAGTTTCTGATTATTTTAGATTTAGGGAGTTGTATGCTGTTCTGAATCAGTTGATCAATTTTCAAACAAAATCTAATCACAGAGTATTATTATAAACATTTTTTAATCTGTAAGAAAATACAAAGAGCATATAACTAATAATTTGTGCCCCAATGAGACTAATCCTGAATGACAGGAATACACTATCAATCTCATTTTACCTTATTCAAAGGTAATATTTTACACAGAAATATCATTGGTAGTCTAATTATGCCAGTGTTATTTTGAAAGTTAAATTGAACTTTTTTATGAACTTAATGCACTATTGCTCAGATAAAGCAGTGAGTTATTTCAAAAGTAAAGATAAACGTAGCTCTTTAACAGGAGCATCACCTTATTTACACAAATCTCATACCTAAATATTTATAAACAGATTTTTTTCATTCTTCAGCAAGAGTTTTCAAGCTTTTCTTTAAAGTTATTTTATCTATAACTGGAATATTTTTGCTATCTTTTTCATATACAATCAAAAAAGCTTGCAAATATTAATACAATCTTCCCTATTTTGCTATCCATCAATTGTTTCACACTTTAAAACTCAGAACTCCCAAATCACATGGTTCGGTTAGATGGAAATTCTGAAAGCTGAAATTCAAAACTTCTGGAATGAGGAAAACTGCTGATACCAGAAGTCAACATCCTTGCTAACCAATCAAAACATATTTTCCAGATAATCCTGCATCTTTTTTCAGAGGAAGGGGGGGAGTCTATCTGCATTAGATTAAGATTGATCCAACAAAACTGGAGATGGGTCTGGTCTCCTTTAATGAAAAGGGTGAAATCTTTCCATTGTCTTAAGCCCCAAATGCTTCTAAAAGCATAATCTTCACTAAGGAACCCTCATTATGAAATTTCCTACCCTTGGCAATGCATTTGCAATCACCATTAGTTCAGTTTAGCTGACTGCTTAAGATACATCTCTTGCCGCAGGCTTTTGAATCCTCTTAATGTGCTTGTTCCTGCTGTTTTGAATGTAAGCATTGCTTTTAATGTTCGGTAATCAGCTCTGTTGCTTTATTTTGTCAACTATGATCCTCTGATTAAAAAATGTAATCTATAAATAAAGAATATGTACTAATAATATGAACAGTTACAGCTTCCAAGTGCCCTCAAGGCTTCATATCAAAAATAATTCTTAGGTTTCTCCAGACAGAACAGTAGAAATTTCTCTCCACCTTTGCTCCAAACAAAATAAGAAGCACTTTAAAACAGTGAACACAATTATTTAATATAACAGAGAAGCAGAGACTAAAAGTTTAAATACCGTATAGAAATAATTTCATTTTCAAAACTAGTGCTTTTCACCTCACCCCATTCCACTCGAAAGGGCCACTGAAACGACAACTTTGCTACTGGCCTTAAAATGAGTATAAATGATATTTGCAATAGATTCAAATCTTTTTAATTTTTTGTTTAATTATCTTCTCTTGACACAGTTTGATAATAAACTTATGCATTAATGTTACT